GCCAGCCTCTTTGGCTGGGGAGCTCACTTGCTCATCCTAGTGGCTCAAGGTCAGTGGTCAGCTTGTGATCTCTCCCACAACATCAATTGGTTGGAGCTGAGGGTGGTCAGGCTAGTGCTTTGCAAGTCCCAGCACTGCATCCAACATCACCATGTCCTGACTGACAATGTGGCAACAAAGGCGCACATAAATCACCAAGGGGGTACCAGGTCCTGGTCCTTCATGACGGAGGTGGAGGCGATTGGTCGGTGGGCGGAACGTCACCTATTATTCATTCGGGCAGAGCACATCTCCGGAGTGAACAATGTCCAGGTGGACTGGCTGAGTCACACCAAACTAGACAACTCGGAGTGGCACCTCCATCCGGGCCTGTTTCACCAATTGTTTCAGAGATTCAGTCATCCCCTGGTCGACCTGTTCACCACTCCAGAGAATGCTCAGCTCCCCCAATTCTTCACCAGATTCCAATGTCCTCGGGTGGAGGGGGTTGATGCCCTTCAATCCCCCTGGACTCTGGGGCTGCTTTATGCCTTCCCTCCATTGGCGCTCATTCCCAGACTGATCAGGAAGATTCTGGAGGAGCGGGCAGAGGTTCTTGTAGTGACTCCATACTGGCCCAGACGGACTTTGTTTGCCGATCTAATGTGCCTGTCCATCGCACATCCCTGGAGGATCCCTCAGGAGTCAGTCTCTCTCAGCCAGGGAGTGGTTATGCATCCGGAACCCCAGTGGCTCAAGCTAACTGTATGGCACTTGAGAGGGACCTCCTGAGGAGAGCCAACTATTCTATCAAGGTGATCAACACCATCCAAGCCTCCAGACGATCCTCCACCTTGCGGATCTACCACCTGGACCACCTTTGCTAGCTGGTGCACAACACGCCATCTTCAGCCAACAGCCGCTTCCCCGCCTCAAATCCTAGATTTTCTACAGGAGGGCCTTGATAGGGGTCTAGCTGCTAACACCTTACGATGCCAAGTAGCAGCCTTGTCCACGATGCTCTCCTATGGCAACCATCAGCCACTCAGCAGGCACCTGGAAATACGCAGCTTCCTATGTGGCGCCTCCAACCTGAGTCCCCAGGTTGTCCATCGTTATCCGACCTGGGATTGTGCCACTGTGCTCAGGGCGCTCACTGGCCCTGCCTTTGAGCCATTGCATCATGTGTCCTTTCACCTGTCTCTTAAAACTGCTTTCCTTGTTGCAATTACCTCAGCCCGCAGGATTTCAGGAATTGCAGCTCTATCGGTCCAGGATGATTTATGTACCATCCACCCAGACAGAGTTGTCCTCTGTCTCGATCCATCATTTGTACCAAAAGTTAATTCATATTTTCACCGTGCCCAGGAGGCAGTCCTCCCAGTCTTTTGCCCACGTCCAAGTCACCCAAGGGAGTGTCGCTGGCACTCTCTCGATGTTCGAAGGACAGTCAAGAAGTACATCAGATGCACAGCTCCCCTTCGTCGGTTGGAGGCCTTGTTTGGCGCCTTTCAACTGACCTTGTTGGGTTGAAAAGTCACCTCGTCCACCATTAGGAGATGGATCAAGGCGTGCATCTCCCTGGCCTACAAACAGCAGGGCAGGCCCTCCCCCCCTTGAGTGATGGCACATTCCACACGCAGCGCAGCCACAATGGCGGTCTGGACCACTAAGGTGTCAGTCAAGGAAATCTGCAAAGCGGCGACCTGGGTGTCCCCATCATTATTTGTTAGACACTACAAACTGGACAAATTTGCAGATGCGGCCTTTGGCAGGAGAATGCTGCAGGTCGTTGCTTCTGAGATGCATTAGGGTTGGGTTGTTACTCTTTGTGGTTCCTGCCCTTGGATATTTTTTTGCTTGGGTATGTCCCTTGCTTGGTCTCTCCAAGCAGCGCACGGGAAAATGACCATTGGCTTAGCTGAAGGGTCCTTTTCCGTACGCTGCTGGAGAGTCCAATCCCACCCTGAGGTTATCTCCTTTCCATCGAAGTTGTTCTTACTTTCGTCTGTGGACGTTGTTTGGAAGGATGGAACATTGTCGTTGACTTGACATTGACTTACCTTTCGGGACCATGCCTTCGTTGAAAAACTGAAAATACCGGGAGACCAGTAGGCGTGGTCAAGATTTCAATCCAGTCCATTGGGCAGAAGGGCAGAATTTAACCCTTGCCTGGACTCTCCCGCAGCACACGGAAAAGGACTCTTCAGGTAAGCCAATGGTCATTCCCCAGCTCAACACACCTAGCAGTTTGAAAGCATGCAAATGCAAATAGATTAATAGGCACCACTTCGGTGGTAGGGTAACAGTGATCTGTGCACCTTTGGTGTACAGCCATGTTGCCCCTATGACCATGGCAAATGTCTTCGGATAATGCTGGCTCCCTTGATCAATAAAACAGATGACAATTGAGCCTTTGGGCTGGACACAACTGGGCAGGGAAACTTTTAGTATTTTCTGACACATTGAGGGTGATTGGAGGGGTCTGCTTTCATAATCAAATCAGCTATACAAGAAGAGAGACTAAGTTATTTTTTCTTCTATTTTGGACTTTAGGTCCTTTTAAGAAAAAAAAACGTTCTTCACAGTTACACTTTATTAAGTTTGTCAAGCAAGGGATTTTTCGCATTCATGTGCATACAAAAATAACCACATCATACAAGCTGCTTTTGCCCATGGAAAAGAAGAGGGGAAGTACATTGGCATGCACTTGTAAAGATGATTCATAGAAAACTAAGCTCTCCTTGTTTGCTTTCCTGGATTCCTACCCACTTGCAAATGTTCGAATGAAATACTCTGAAAGCTCTGCAATAAATAATGTTCTGACTAACATTCCATTCCTCTTCAAACAACGAATACCATTCATCTTGGCAGGGATTCGGGAAAATATATGTATATATTTCGATGGGCCCTGAAATAATTAAAAAAAAACAGTAGGATGTGGAAGGATATGCATGGTGGATTTTGCCATTAGCAACCGTATCTGTGGTTTCTGATAACTATCACAACACCCCATGCAAACAGTGTCACAATGGGAGCATTACTGTCAGTCACCTATAGGATGTCTACTAATAGATTTACTTGTGAAAGCAACACTTATCACGTATAGTTTTGAACAGCAGATCCACTGATGAATGAGGCTTCTTTAGCACAGGGGTGTATGCATAGAGTTACATGTAATGCCTTACATCAGCCACATACCAATGCACAGCTCTTCACATTTAATTTTTATTGTCAGCTTTCCTTTAGGGGAATGTCAATGGTCCACACCTCTGTGTTAAACAGGCCTGTACTTTGGCTTCAGCAGCATTTCCTGAAACCATTTGTAAGGTTATAGCACGCTGCCAACTGAATCATTTGGCTGGTCTTTGAACAAGATTTCTCAGTTTGCAAGCTGATCTTATTTTAATAGAACACAGTTTGTTAGTGAACTATTTCTTACACAGGAGGTATGGAAGACATAGTTGTTTGGTAGTGCTTGAAATCTTATGCAAAACCAGATAACCCTTTTCTTTAGTGGACATTCCAGCAATACTTCAAGTCAGGGAGACCTCATCACTGGAAAGTCCAAATATGCTGTTTAGTCATACTTCTTCCAAAGAACTGTTCCCATGTTTTCTGTTGCTGTCAGCCTGCCTTCAAAATAACTTAATGGTATGCATTGCCTTTAGAATCTAGTAAATAGTAAAAGGAAAACTTAGGAAGGGAAAGTTGTTTTACAGAAAACTATTTCAAAACAATCCTTTGTTTCTCATATCTACTGTACTGCTCAAAATTAGTGTATTGTGAAAACTCTGTAGCTCATTATGATAATCAGGATTTCATCTCCTTGGATAATAAAATAATGAAATACCATAAACTGTATGGTTTAAAATAGTTCATGATAACATGCTTTTTTTCCTTTACCAACTTAATGCTGCTGCATTTTTCCTCTTTTTTCTTTTTCTTTTTTTGTCTGGTTGGTCTCTTCCCCCCCCTCCCTCCCTCCCTCCCTCTCCCTCTCTCTCTCTCTCTCTTTGGGGTGTGTGTGTGTGGTCTGGTTAAAAGATGTCACCTGTATTCAAAGGGTTAGCTTTTGGTACTACTTAATAACAGAAATATATGTGCCATCCCACCATTGTTAAACCTAAGCTTTCAAAAGATTATGTTCTGTATCCGCTAAAAATTAGGGTCTAAATAAGGATGGGAAAGGCAGTTACTCAGTGGTGTAATTCATTCTTTTAATATTGATACATAAGAATCTTTGATCAATTGATTGGACAACTGTTCTGCATGCTGTGCTTGGGATGTAGGATTAGAATTGGAATACAGGATATGTTGGATTCAGGTGTCTTAACTGAGTTTTTATTGGTAGTATTATGACCCAAAGTGCTTTTTCAGGAGGCAGCTTGACTTTCTTGTTTTTGTCTTTTGAAGACGTTTCACTTCTCATCCAAGAAGCTTCTGACAGGATAGTGGAGAATGGAAGCATTTATATTTATAATATTTATTTCTGACTTATATGAAACAAAATTCTTTAATGAAATTTAATAACAAGTAATAGGAAGAATTGTTAAAATAAAAAGGAAGGTCTTAATCCAAAAGTCAAAAAATAAAGTAACAAAAAACAGAAGAAGAAAAATTAATCCATTCACTTTAAGAGGAGAAACAAAAAAACGTTATGAGCACTTCAATCCACGAAGTATAGTTACAAAGAAAAAAAAACATTTGCATCCTTTTAGAGAGCCATTAAAGCACTTGGAGGTTTTTCAGGTGAATTGGATGAGAAGCGAAATGTCTTCAAAAGAAAAAAGAAGAAAGTCCAGTTGCCTCCTGAAAAAGCACCTTTGGGACAACCATGACCTGGATGATTCAGAATCTCTACAGACTTGTGATTATTTAGCCTTGTGTAGACCCTGAACAGTAATTTGTGGGATACTTTCTTCTTTCTTTCACCGTTCCTGTGACATTCCTCCTGGGCTGAACTCTTTCGGTATGTTTTGAATCAACCACATCTCACTCCTCTCCCTTTTTTCTCTCTCCAGGCGAACGACCTTTTCCTTGTACATGGCCAGAGTGCCTTAAAAAGTTCTCTCGCTCTGATGAGCTAACAAGGCACTACCGAACCCACACCGGGGAGAAGCAGTTTCGATGCCCACTTTGTGAGAAGCGGTTCATGCGGAGCGATCATCTGACCAAGCATGCCCGTCGCCATACTGAGTTCCATCCTAGCATGATCAAGCGATCTAAAAAGACCAGCTCTGCCTCCTTTTGAAGGAAAGACTACAACCAGGGGTGAGGGTGGGGAGATGGCCGTCAGTGAAAAAAATCAGAATGGATCAGCACAAATATGTCCACCACTGTACAGTAAAATTCCCCCCCCCAACTTGCATTTTTAAAGCACATGTAGCTGGAAATTTAAAAATTAACATTTTTGTTCTGTCCACCCTGCTGTGCTACCAACCACAGTCTTAAATCAGTAGCTGTTGGGTGGGCGTGGGTAGTGGGGGGGTGTCTGTATGGGGAACAGCAGAAATAATGCAACTTTTTATAGTTTAAAGAATCAACACTGGTGTGTGGGTGCATGTGTGTGAACACAGACACACACACACACGTCTGTATATAATTATATGTGACTGGGTGATTTGACCTGTGACACCACAGTAGTGATTCCAAGCTCTTTGTGATTGCTGTGTCATGGAGATGTTTTGTTGACTAATGTAATGCTGCTTGTATTTTAAAACAAAACAAAAAAACACAAAAAACAAAAAAAAAAATCCAGTTTAGTGAAACCACTTTCCAACTCACTTAAGTATTTTTCAAGTAAAGCAAAACAAAAACATCGTAGCACATGATAGATGGAATTTCACGTTTCTCTCTCTGTGGTCCACCCTGTTCAAGACTGTTAAGAAAAAAAAAATCATCGTTCACAGTACCAGATTGGTGGAAGGAAACTGTACTTTTCACCAAGTTATCCTTTTTGAGCTGCTCTTTTTTCCCCCAGTGGAAACATGCACAGAAACCAATTATGAAACCAAAAGGAAAACAAGAAATCAGCTGGCATCACAAATAAGAGGCTATTCTTTGCCATGTAGAAAAGAAACAATGCAACCTAAATCATGCAAAGAAATGTGGCAGAAGTATGAGACTATTTTTTTCTCCTTTAGCTGTTCCTAGACTTTCATCTGAAAAGCAACCATATACTGTACTGTACTATATGAATACCACTACCAGTGCTTTATTCTGCTGGGTTTTGTTGGAATGAATGCGTAACAGCAGCAACCATCTTGATAAGCTACCACTTTTATAAAAGTTATTTTTTTCTCTTACGACTCTTTTTCTCAATGGTGCATTTTCTTCACCTCTCACCAGAATTCTGTCTCAGCTAATGGAACTATGTGCATTTGGAGTCGGTAGAGAACCTTTTTTTCTTGTTTTATTTTCTCCGACAGAACATTCTCTATGTGGACGAAGGCAACTAACACTGGTTTTTTTAAACTACTTTTTAACAGTCTTCTTTTTCATAAATTGCAGCTGTTGTACAGTCTGGGGAATAACAACCAAACTAATTGCAAGTCGGAATTCAGACTCGGATGCAGGAGGCGTGTCGAAATACCTTTCACGACATAGCCTCACCACTACATACCTTGCAATCTCAATCCTCCGTATCAGGCTTGATACAGTTAATGATAATGGCAATATTTCATCTGTTTCAAATGCTACGGTTTGCTCTACGGAACAGAGGCACCATCCACACTGGAGAAAAGCTCTTGCATCTAGCCTAGCTGTGTCACCTTTGTTAATGTCGAAAGCATGAACCTGACGCAGGTTGTAATCCATGGACGTTCCCTTCCCCATCTCTCGTGGTGATGGAGAATCATGTTTACAGACTTCCCTCCTGCCCCCTCTGTCCTTGACTCTTCTTTCTCATGATGGAAGGAGTGGTGCAACTGTCCTACGTAGGGCTAACTTTGTGGGTGAGGAAATCACACGGTAGCCAGAGGGATTACACCTGGATCGGTTTGCCCAACTTTGTAAAGAATCTGTACATACGACCTTGTAAAGTATACCTGCTATGACAGTATGTTGTTCTTGTTTCATCCGATAGAAAGCTAGCTTCCTAGAAAAATAAAATAAAACATCTCAGAGAGTAGAGTATTCTACAATTGTCTGTGGCTTCCAGCACTAGAACTCAGTATGCATCAAGCATTTTTACCTGTGTGGCTCATTATAAAACCTGTCTATGCGAAAAGAACAGCTTTTAAATAAAGGTGTTGGGGCAATGAACAACTTAATGGCATTTCAGAAGCAAAAAGGAATGAGTATTCTTCAGTGAAGACATGTCAGGAAACCAAGCACACTTTCTACCTCCGTTTCAACTTCTTGAAACGTTTGTTTTATGATAAACCAAAATTAATTTCTGGTGTCCAAAATAAATTGTAGGGATATTTGTTCTTCCTTATAAAAATAGGTAGCCTGGCTCTTTCTATTGCTCTAGTGTTAAAAAAAAAGCATTCTGCTTTTATCAGTACTGTTAATGCTGCCTTGTATAATAAGGGTGAGGACTATGTGGTTGGTCAGCAGCTCGCAATGTGGTACTATTCCAATCGTCCTCCCTTTCTATATGAAACCAATCCTCCAGAGCCTAAGCTCTAGTCTGAGTCCTAGTAAACAGTTTGCCAGATCTTTACTGTTGCTTTGGGGTAGGACAAGTGCAGTTTTAGCAAAAGAGAGCCCGAAAGCTGAATGCTGTTATTCCACCTTTTGTACAAAGCAAGCCACAGGCACTTAAATGGCACCTTCCTTATCAGGTCATAAAGGCAGATGAGAATAATTAGGTTTGGTGAAATGGTGATTAGGACACTTGCCTGTCTCCTGACAGCTGTGGACTTGATCTCATATGACACATGGCCACCTCCAGTCCACATGATGGTTCTAAGTTGGTCCCTTGGGCTGGAAAGTCCTTGACGGCCAAATGGTGCTATTCATGTTGCTCCCTTGTGGACTTCAGGTCAGGGTATAGAAATTATGGCTGTGCCTTCATCACACCAGCCAAACCATTTGCAGAATAGTTTGCCATGACCTAATTTGGCAGCATATATTATTTGAACAACAAATCATAGGAACTGCTCCTCTCATTCCTAAAAGGATTCTTATGGATAAATCCAACCATAGGATGTATAAAACAATGACTAGGTTGATTTTCTTAACGGCTCTTCCAGCTATAGAAAAAAAAGTGACTCAATAGATTTGGGATTCACCTTTGTGATATTCTGGTCATTGCAATGAGGTGTGCATGATCCTGGTGTGTTATTTCTAGTATTGGAGTGGCCATCGGTTTGCAGTAAGTAGGTTGATTGACATGTAGGTAAACCCATTATATGCTACTGTGGATGTCTCCACTAATGTGCATTGAGTGATGATAAACCTTCTGGCTTGGTAACCAATAAACATGTCAGATCACCCATTTTCTGCAAACAGCCACAAGTTTCTCCAGCTATGGTGCAGGGGAAGTAACTGCCATGATAACGTTTAATTGGTGTTGTCATGCATACCAAGTTAGGCTACCGATTGACACTGGCCTGCTTTCTATATTAGTTTTAAACAATGTGTGCAGAACCAGGTCTTAAAAGGCTGGTATGGCATTCGACAGCAAATAGGGTTGAGAATCCTGGGCATGATTAGTCTGCTGCATAAGTCATATAAACGCCTGATTTGCAGTTGTTGGGGCAAAAGGAAAAATAAGGTGTTTAATTCTTACCCATTCAGTTTTCTTCTTCCCAAACAGATCTTTTCCTCAGGCTGAATCAGTTGGTAATTTGAAGGGCAACTGAGCGGGATTAAGCATGTATAGTATGGATCCTTGTCCCAGCAAACTCTTTTCACTTTGCCACAGAAGCAAGGATTTCTTCAATCCTGTTTGCTGACAACTGCACCCAGCTGCACTATAATTGTTAAAATGTTTTTATGTGGGAAATGTAACTCCCATGGCTGTGCCCCAGAAGATAAATGAACAGCTCAAGGATCCAGGAGTTTTATGAGGTTACTCTCAGAAGCAGGGACTGTTTCTTTGGATTTTAATCTCAGCATGCTTACTTGAAAGCCATGTTCCTTCAAATGAATGAAACTTGCTTTCAAGTAAATCTGGTAAGCAACGGGATGTAAAATATGCTTTTTATGAGTCTTCCAAAAGTAACATCAGAAACTACCCAAAGTTTATTAACCACTAACAAAATAAAATCAGTTAGATTTGGTGTAAGAGTCAGCAGTGACTTTCACTTGACAGCGCAGTGAAATAGGTTACAATCTTTTAGCAAATCGGAATTTGAGAAGAGGCTACAGCAGGTGTTGACAAGAAGGAAAAATCAAGTTCTTGGTGAACTTCTTTGCCAGGCCACTCTGGAAATTCTCAAAAGAGTGCTGACGTGAATGCAGCTCCTCTCCTCCATTTAGAAAGACCTTCCTAGAGAAGCCATGGCTTTAAACTATAGCTATACAACATCTTTTGTGAACAATTTTGATGACTTCTATACAGGTCTCTCCTGTTTGTTGATGGACTTAGCCCAGTATGCACCAGACATACTTTTCAAATGCTGTTTTATTGCAGGTTAACAAATCTGTAACACTGTAAAATATCAATCTTTACAACTTTAATCCATTTTATTTTTGTACAGTATTCGTATCCTTTCTAAGTTATTTTGCTGTCCTGTTTTGTAAATCATATGAAATTGTAAAAAAAAAGAAAAGAAAAGAAAAAGAAAAAAGTAGGAATAGGTGTTTTTGTACATATGTATATAAAAATGTCCAAATACTTAAAAAAATAAAATGAAACAAAATGGAAAAGTTGCTTGGGATGATTTGTATCAGAGTCTGATTGCTCAAAATTGGATAGTACAGTAAACAATGAGGAAATATCTATTAACAATGGAGTTAAATCGCTCTGCCCATTTTGATTCTTCCAGATCAGCAAGACAACTCCTTAATCTTCCAGTCACTTAAAGCCTTTGGAGTTGAAATTCAATATATATAGAGGCCATTATGTTGGGCAAAGCTGATTTAGATAGATAAAAGTAAAACAAGCAATTAAAATGGCAGAACTGCAAGATGAATAACTTTTTTAAAAGGTTAAAAAAATGGTGAAGCAGGAAACAATCAGAGCAGCTTATAGTTAAAACATGTCAATGTTTTCAGAAGACGTGTTTAATGTCAGAACACACACACACACACCAAGGTTCAGGAAAATATTGACTGTCTAAATCAGAGATGTTCAACCTTGGCAACTTTTAAGATCAGTAGATTTTAACTCTGAAGGTGAAATCCACACTTCTGCTCTAGGTATTTGGAGTACAATTTCACCATCCCTGACAATTGGCCTCACAGAAGAATTTATGGGTTTGGTTATCAACATCTGGAAGTAACCAGATTCTTCATCCTTGCCCTTAGTTCCTAGCACTTGCTAACAAGCTTTTGATAAATCTGTTGCAGAATCTGGGAAGTGCCAGAATAAAAGTTCTTTTTGCAATTTCCCCATCTTGACTACAGAGGTGTAGGAAGAGCCCTTTAAGTAGCTCTCAACTCAAAAAATTCCAGGGCTCTCTGAATGATATTGGGTTTTCAAGATCAGTATTTTGAATTACAGTAAGAAAAAAATGGTGCCTGGAAGGCAGCAGCCTTCTTTTCATTCTGATAGGATAAAGGTTTTGGTAGTTGCACGCAAGAACCCAAGGAATAGTTCTTATTTTGAAGACTTTGCATAAGCTTTCAAGATTTTTCCACATGCTACACATATCTTATCAGAGAGCTTCAGTTGGTCAAAGTATTTTATTGATGCAGCAGGATGTTACCAAAGTCAAGGTAGATGCAAGGGTAATCCTTGACAACAATCCTTCCACCCCAACTCAGCAACTTAACCCTCGAGGTAGACCAACTAGTCCAGAACTAACCCTCACTTCCAAGTTGTATTTGTAAAATTTATCAAGCATTTGGATTGCAAACTGTGAAACAGGGTTTGTTCCTTCCCATCTTCTCTGATGTGCTGGCTGTTCTGTCTGACACACAGAAAAAGGAGTGTGTGCCAAGATGAGTCATTTATTTTTTAATCTTAGTTTCGGAGTTCTTATTTTTCAGGGGTTCTCATGCAAGTTTGCAACAACAGGATGCTGCTTTGAATTTCAACACTAGATTTAAGAACTGTCCTCTCCCAATCGTAACCTCATCATTAGGAAAAGGTGCAGACTTTGTCTTCTATGTCATCTTCTTGTGCTATTTTATTTCTTACCATTGCTCACTGAGTTCCCTATGGGTACAGAGGCATGTATACATTGAAGAAAGAATCAAATTAAGCAATAATTCTTTATTTCACGAATGTAAATAGCTATTGTGACATACTCTGCTTTGTTACTTTTGATCATGTTTTACAAAGGCTCCAAATCTAGTACCTTCCAGAAGTATTCGCCCAACACTAGTTTCCTAGCCAGCAATCAGCATGACCTTTGAGGAATAGGAGAAATAGCCATGATGGATAGTTTGGGTGATCCTGTGTTGTTATTAGGCTGGAACTTTTTTGTCCATTTTTGGCATTTATTTTGGGTTTATATTAAGGGAAATAAGTGCATTTCATTTCAGGCTAACAGCACCCATTCTCTCTGTATTTATGCTAAAAAATCAAATTTGGTCCTACATAGATTCAGATTATTTAGTGAAATCTAATGTACCCAATAAAGTTCTTTTTTCCAAGAGTGTTTTCCAAGAACCTTTTAGAAATGCAGATGGAAAAACCTTCTATCTGGACCTTGAGAATTCTTTACATGGTTTTGAAAAATGAACAAAGATAAATTGCTAATTCCCAGATGAAATATTTAACTCAAACCTTAATATTCTGTAGCATCTAATTTATTCTAGTATTTGGTATCTTTAACTCCTTGCAGAAAAAATCTGATTAGTCTTGATTATAGTTTAGAGAGGTAAAGAATGCTGGGAACAACCCATAAGATAACAACTTATCAACAGTGCTTTCAACTTCAGTAAGTGTTTTCCTAACCAGAACAAACACGACTGGGCTTGAAGGAAAAAATGGATATTAAACCAATACTTTTAAAATCTATTATTACATTACTTTATATAATCTATTTTCAGTGCGAGCAACACCAAACATTAATTCTGCTTAATATTTTAAATTTTGCTTTAATGCCTTCATATATTTTACACAATAGCATCACACTTTTTTTATCAGTCTTTCCCAACATAATTCAGATTGTCCATTCAAATGTTATTTGTTTTTTTTATTTGTTCCTGAGCCTTCTTCCATTACTCGCACAACAGATTGCAAGTCAGAGAATAAGTCCATGAAGATTGCCATATAAACTTAACATTAAAAATAATCCTAGCCATAAATAAAGAAGCAAGAATTTTAACACTTGAGCATCAAGAAAGGCAATAAGACAATATGCAGAAGTCAGCATCCTTCTGAGCCTTACAGAAACCCTGTGGTTATTTACTCAGAAATAAGCTCTACTGCATTAAATGAATCTATTCACATGTAACTCTAAAATATTGATTTAAAAAAAAAAAAGATTGTCTATGGCCGCCCAACCTGAACACTGCAGCTTCAGACAATATACAAAGAATGATTCCAAGTGCCTACGCCTAAAATTTAGCTTATTTAAGTCATATATATGTTCCTCGTATAATATGAAATGTAAGCTTGTGTGTGTTAATACTGTAACAAGAAATCCTTGATTTTGGGGGGCATAAGTGCATCCAGCTGGAATAACTTTGTTTATAATGGCAAAAAACAGGGATTCAAAAGTTTGCCGAGTAAAACACAGACAATGATTGTACAAGAGGATGTCACTTCAGGGCAATCTTTCCTAATTTCAGCTCCTCCAAATTTTAGATCTGTTAGCTGAGAATTACTGTGGTATATGAAGTCGGGAATGACTGTAAACACTACATACTGTAGATTAGGGGTGTCAGACTCGCATCATCACATGATGTATCACATCTTTTCCTTCGCTAAACCAGGTGTAGGCGTGACCAGCGTGTGACACATCCGGTCCATGGGCCACGAGTTTGACAGCCCTGCTGCAGACCATCACAGGAAATCATAAGCTTGGATCATGCAATTTTTGGTACTGTCTGGATGGTGCTGATGTCCAATTCCCTGCAATTCCAACCAACATGCTCAATGGTAAAGGAATATGGGAAATATACTTCAATGACACCTGAATGGCAAAATGTTGCCCATTGCAAAGGCTAATTAGGTTATTTTACAGACTATTGTTGAACCCCTGTACCTGCAATCCTATTTGTAACTCTCTCCATCCAAATAGCCTAGAACCCCATTCCTTCTCTGAAGTTGTAAAAAAGTAAATAAGTCAATATTTATACCTATTTCAAGCAAAAAGATATGCGTCTTTCCAGGAGTTCAACGTGTTGATGGAATCCAGCTTCTATCTTATCTGCAATTTAGCAACTGATATTACTATTTCCACAGGACCAGTGTTTCCTTCCTTTTTTTTTCTTTCATGGCTCAGATTTCCAGAAGTGGCCACCATTGATATAATTGGTCTGCACTCCCCACAGCCAACACACTTGCTATAGATAAGTGCAGTCCCAAATAGTTTTCAGATGGAAAAAAGACCTTCCTTTCATTCTGAAAGTTGAGGGCATTTATCTGCCTCCCCCCCCCTCCTACACACTAACTTTAAAACCTTCCAAGTCCACAAGGCAAAACAGATCTCCCACAGATGTTATTAGAGTGGCCTCTGGTGGTAAACTAGAGTCAGTTCAATATTAAAGAAAAACTATACATGTTGAAGTCACAGCAATTTGAGTAAGGGAACTGAAATGAACCTAATTCAATTTTTTTCCCTGCACCTTCAAAAACTACTGTAAGCATTCTTAATTTTTGTAATATAATTTAAAATGAAGATGTTCCTTGTTGTTACCGGTATTAAACAGCTGGTTCAGCAGTCCTCATCAGACTCTTACAGTTACACTATCTTCAGCAACTTGGCTGGAATTTCCTTCTCATTGTTAACTCCTCCCAATGGACAGTTACTGAGCTGCATGATGAAAGAATACTGTAGCTAATACATGTTGCAAGGGCACACACAATGCTATACACAAAGAGGCACTATGTCTCTGTCTACAAATGGGAGTAATAAGTGCTCTAGAGTTCCAGGAAAAGGAAGTGATGTAAGCAAACAGAAAAGTCCTCAGCATCAGGTGACAGTGGAGAAAAATATGAAGTCTATATCTGTCTGGTCCCAAAGGCTAAAGATAAACTTTTGGGTTTTTATACAATGAAAATCAACTGATTAGAAAGGTCTATACTTGCTATTTAACTCTTTGGGAGAGAAGGGACAATTTTCTCCTTTAGTTTCCTATGAAGAGCTAGTTATCTTAGGTTTTTTTGGTCAGTTTCATAAAATAATAGTTTTAAACAAGGAACATTATCAGCCCCTTTGCTCCTAGCCTCCCAGTATGAAATTATTGCACTAATCATAGAGATATAATTAAAAGGGCTTCCTTTTACTATTGACTTTTTTAAAAATAGGAGATAGCCAATTTTTTAAATAGGTGAACCTAAACGCTGTACATTGATACAGGAAAAATAATAATTAAAATAATAAAAACAAATCTGAAGAGCAGCTCGAGTTCAGTTAAGAAATGTTTTGGTCTAGTTGCACACTTCATGGCTTAAAATGTAACCTTATTTGGAAATGTAATCATATATACTACGGGGAACTAGAACCAGCT